ATCCATTGTGGTGGTGTATAGAGCCAAAGATGTTAGAATTGTGTCGATGTCCCAATATTTCTGGACCTGACTGTATATCTTTGCCAGTCTTTGGGAGATTATTTCTCATGATTTCTAGCAAGAAGGCTTTACATTTAGGGAATATGCTTATTTCAGCTGTTCCTTTTTGAAAAAAAAAATCTAGCATATTTTATTCTGCGAATGACCCATGAAAATAGGAAAACTGACCTGCTATCAAGGGATTAAAAAGAGAAATAGCTGCCTGCAAAAATGTGCTTCTTTAGTAGGAATTCCCCCTCCCCAGGAAACATAATTCCCCCACCCTTAAGTAGTTTAAATGTAATTGCTATAAAGAGATACTGAGATCTATATACAGTTAAAAAAAAAAAAAGAGTGATCTTTTTGGAGATGCACTTAAAATATGTATCTACTTAGATCATCACTTCATGTGAAACATTTAGGCTGACAGCTTTCGCAAGCGAAAAGTACTGGTATCCAAGCAACGTTAAACTACATCAGAATGATCGAAAGGAGTGAGTGTGTGGGGGAAACACGCTAGAATATAAATTACTTCTCCCTCCAAGATCTATTTCTCATCACAATGACAGACTTGCATCTCAAATGGATCCCCTTAGATTGCAGGGGTCAGGGAGTGGGCCCTGAGTCTCAAATAGCCTCCATATAGAAGACTAGATATTAGTGGGAAAGAAGGTATGGTAAGTTCTTTCCTGAAACACTGGCAATCTACGTGGAAGAATTTATATTGTGTTTTTGGAGAGTACTCTACAATGTGAGCATCCCCCAGCAGTATACAGTGGTACAGTTCTGATATAACTTATCAGCTAGGCCCAAATCTTCTCTAAAGATGAGATGTCTCTAAAGATGTCTCAAGTTTACTCTCACTATGTCATAGAACAAAAATTAATGACATGTGGGTCATCAGCAGGGCTTATACGATCCCTGGGGTATGACTGTGTGAAACATATACTTCTGCAGAGACTGAACAATATCGAATTCCAGATGGAAGTCAAGAGTTTAGTACAGGAAAGCAGTCAGTTATCTTTCCTCACATTTCCCAAGTTAAGGAAAGCTTTTTTCTGGGCTAGACATAATATTTTGCCTTTGGCACTATTGCAAAGAACATATTCTAAGATCCCATGCAAGACATGTGTTTGCCCCTGTGGAACCAAGGGAAACTGAAACAGTTCAACGTGTGTTATTTTACTGTAGCATCTATAGCAGCATTTCTCAACTTTGACCATGCTAAGATGGGTGGACTTCAACTCCCAGAATTCCCCAGCCAGCATTGCCAAGATTGAGAAATATTGATCTATAGGGACATTCACCCTGCTTACGTCTAATCCCTGCTTCATCAGTACCCTGGAAGAACAGATATATTTTATATGATTTTACTTTTTTCAAACTCTAAATCTATATCCCAAATTGACTGGACAGCCCATTGGGACCCCATCAATAGGCTATCTCACCTCCTTCAAGACACAAACACCTGGGCAGTCAGAAAGACTAGCAAGTTTATAGTTAAAGCCATCCAGCTGAGAGCTTCCTACCTAGCTCAGACTGGGGTCAACTGCCAAGGATATGATCTTACTGGATTATTTTACTGAATATTTTTATATATTCTGATATGTTGTATTAATTTTACCCTATTTTACTATTCTGATGACATGTTATGATTTGATATGGTCATTTGACTAATCAATAAACTGAAACTATAACCCAGACTGTAGTAATATACTGGGCAGCAGCAGTGAAAATGAGGCACCAACTAATGCAAGGTCTCTCATAGTTAAAACTCAGTTTATTTGTTGACCACCTTGACCACAGTTTATTTGTTGACCACCATCCAATGTTTTATTTTATTTTACTATCTTTATAGTGTTCAGTATTTCTGGCCCTTGGACATAATGAAGTATTTTGAAGTTTAAGATCTGAAGCTTAACTAGCATCAGCCCTTATTTTCAGTAGCATCCTAAGTGGTTTCAGCCTGTGTGAAGCCAATCACATGTACCAACCATGCTCTGCTTCAGCTTTTACTGTTTCAGAACAGTATTCAGCTTGGCAGGAACAAACTGACAACAGTAAGAGATCTGCATGGATTTGTTTTATCTATGACTGTCATTTGTCTGAAGAATTTGAGAACTACTCATTATATACACTAATAGCAAACTCAGTTCTCGGTGCCAGACAAAATGAGACCAGCTACCACTCAGAAAAGGACCTCCAATGTTGCCTGAGCATGACAATCCCATGACATAGCCACATGTTTTCCAAGGAACCTTAAAACAGTATTGTTAGGGTTCACCCCTGACTAGCACACATTGAGTGGAGGGATAGGAAGTCTCACCAATGACAGCCACACTTCCTAATGGAGCAACAACCGTGACTGGAGCAAATCCATAGGCTGCAAAGTTCCCAATTTCTCCAATCCCCATAAGTATAATTCCACACCACCAGAGTTTACTTCTGTAACAAGGTTTCTGAGTGGTTCGTTGGGTCAACCGAAGATGAGAGTATTTCTGAAAGTAAGATATAAGAATGAAAGACATGGAGTAATAGATTAATGGTAAGTGAGCATATTAATATGGTACTATAAATGTTTTTTTCACCTTTGTGAAATAAGACAACACTGTGGATATTATATGAATCTTTGGTCCCTAAATAAGAAAAAAGTGTCAGGATGAGCTGAAGTTAGTATTCTGTGTAAGTGGTTTGTAATGCTTGGATGTTTTGGACTTTCAAACAAAAGTATTTCTTTCCCTTCTCTCTCCCAAAGGCACTTCCAATATAACCAATTTCTTCTCAGCGATATAGAAAACTTAACCTAGCAGTATAGGAAAAAAAAATAGAAAATTCTGTATGAAATCATTAAGAGGTTTTCAACTTTTTGATCCTATAAGTAATTTTATTCCTAAGATTTGTATCTTGAAGGTGATATAATATGTTCTGCAATCTTCACAAGACTTGGTGGCAAAATTATAATACACGGAGGCCTCTATCAATTGTTAAGTGGACTAATCAGCAACGCACAGATAAATTGACCAAATTATTCATACATGAGAGGAAAGAAAAATACAACTGAGACCTTTTATAAGAATTGATTGCCTTTCATTGATTTTCAGAATACAAATAGTTTAGATTTGCTTTAACACAGAATTGTTCCTATGATTTATTTATTTCATTAAATTTATTATAACTGCCCACTCCAACAGACTCTGTTGGTGTTAATAGAGGCTGTAATGCTATACAACACAGACATTAATTCTGAAAAATACGTATAGCATAGCTAGTAAGTTGGATCAATATTATTATAATAGTATTGTACATTTTTATAAACATTTCTTATCCTTAATGTAGTTCTACATTAAGACATTTTTGCCCATGCATTGCCCATATAAGTTTTGCAAAATCATTGCACTTATGCATATTACTATAAATCAAAAAGAAACATGGGTCATGTTTTACAAATATATAATATATGTATACATACTGTAACCACATTGCAACAATAATGTAGCTCAGTATTACTTTATCTCAGAGCAACATTAACTAATACTAGACTTAGTCAATCTTAATTCAGTGAAATCAGTTACACTTAAGGCGTCACAGCTAACTTAATCTATTATTTCAAAAAGCCCGCCCTAAGTGTGACTAAATTCCAATCTCATCTAATGCCTCCAAGTCTATACATAGTTCCACAGCTTGCAAATGCAATGAAGGTTTTCATACCTGCAGATTCAATGAGATGCTGATAAGAATGTTTCCCGTGACTGCCAATAAGATGCCTAAGAGCAAAGTCTGAAAAATATACATGTAATCCATGTACAGTTAGAGAGAATTCTCAAAGCATCCAGCATATATTCCTATATCATTTGTTTTTTAAATCTTTCTTAAATCACGTTATTCTACAAATTAGCTTGAGAAGACTACCAAGCAACATCAAGTTTAAACTTGCTCTGGGTTGGTATTAAAATATCCATTGCTCTCAGGCTATATATACTATGTGAAGGTATGTATGTATGCACGCAAGCGTGTCTGTATATGTATATACTTATACATACTGTATACATACACACACACAGCTATTTTATCAGAAAGCTAAAGAGCCAACTAAAGAGCTGACCCAAAGTTGGGAGTATTATTCCAAATAATTATTCCAAGAACTGCATTTACTCCTTGGAAAAAGTGTCAAAAGGCACATGCCAGTAGGGAAAGGGGGACAGGGTGTCCAAGTGCATTTCCTGACCATGCTACATACTCATTTGGATAACAAATCAGACAGCAAATCTGACTAAAGATTCAGGCTGCAGCTATTGAAAAATCTTATAGGATGGAGCTAGAATAAAAGGGAGGGAGGGAAACAGGTGCAAACAGTTCAGATGCAGTACAGATTTTTTTTAAAAAAAAGTGCCTTGAGGCTCCAGAAGACTGAGTAGCAACATTCAAAGTTACCTGATTATAGCTGAACTTCTATAAATGGTTTTTAAGAACTGCTTAACCCCTACCTGAAATAAGGTATTCAGAGCTATCAAAACAGATTTATTAATGATTGATGTGTGGGAAGTATATTTATACTATCATAAAAATGTCAACATCCAAGATATCTCAGAAGGTATTTCCTACTTATAAGAACTCTAGTACTAGAAGATAGTTAGCTCAGCATTCTGGTCATTACCAAGTCAGAAGGTTACAGGAACAGATGAAATACTCACAGAAATATGGCAAGCAACAGAAGAAGTATTAGTCAAGGTCCTAAGCTATGCCAGCTAATCTGGAGAACACCACAGTGGTCAACAGATTGGAAGAGATTAAACTACATACCAATACCCAAAAAAGGAGACTAAAGGGAGTGTGCAAACTGTTGTACAATATCCTTAGTTTTACACACTACCAAAATAATACTTAGGATTGTCCAACGCAGATTAGAGCCCTACATGGAAAGGGAGCTGCCAGATGTTTGGATGGCTTTAAAAATGTCTGAGAAACACAAGACATTGCTGATGCAGGCTAGATAACTGAAAAAGCCAAAGAATACCACAAATAAGTCACTATGTGCTTCACTTATTATAGAAGGGCCTTTGAGTGTGTTGATCATGCCAAGCTGTGGAATGTGCTTAGAAAATCCCACATCATGTTCCAGGTTCTGTCTGTTACAGTGTGTCATCTGGTGGAACCCAGGTAAGCGAGTTTTTTCATGGTGCCCGCTCTCTGGAACATCATTCCCCTAGAGATGAGACTCGCCTCAACCCTTCTGGTCTTTTGTAAGACCTTAAAAATCTGGTTTTCTCGTTGAGCCTGGGGTCTTAGATGCATGGTTGAGCCCTTATCATGGATTTTATTCTGTTTTTAAGTAGTGTTAGCTACCCAGAGTCATGTGTTTGAGATGGGCAGCCATATAAACTGAATGAATAAATAAATACATCTCATTGTCCTCATGAGAAACCTATACACAGGTCAGGAAGCCACAGTACAGACAGAACATGGCGAAACAGACTGGCTTCAGGTTGGCAAAGGAGTGACATAAGGCTGTATACTCTCCCCTTATGTATTCAACTATATGTTGAATATATATTAAGGGAAGCTGGATTGGAAGAAGATGGACATGGTTTAACACTGGAGGAACAAACAGCAATAACCTTTGCAAATGCTATATTGATGATGCTATGATAGCCGAAAATCCAAAGGATCCGCGAGCTCTAGTTATAAAAGTCAAGACACACAGTGGAAAAAATGGGACAAATATTGAAAATAAAGAAGACCAAACTAATAACAGGTTCAACAACCAGTCTTTGAATTGTCAATGAAGATAACAAAGTGGTGGATAGTTTCTGCCTTTAGGATTAACCATCAATTGTAAAGCATCAAGCAGCCAAGAAATACATCACAGACTAGCACTTGGTAGTGCAGTCATGACGGCCTTGGAAAAAATATTCAGATGCTATGATGTGTCTATGTCTACAAAGATCAGAATCATGCAAGCAATTATATTCCCTATGACACTCTATGGAAACAAAAGTTGGACTTCAAAGAAGCAGTATAGAAAGAGTACTGATGTTTTTGAACCTTGATGTTGGAGAAGACTCCTAAGAATACCATGGACAGGCAATAAAACAAACTAATCATCAAACAAATCAACCCAGATTTCTCACTCGAGGCACAAATGACAGGCTCAAATTTTCCTACCTCAGACACATTATGTGAAGACCTAGCTCTCTGGAGAAATCTATAATGGTGGAAGGAAAGAGAAGAACAGGATGACCAGCAGCAAGGTATCCACTCAGGACTCAGTTTCAATGGTGATGTGCATTGTTGGAAATCCAGGTTAGGGACAGAGCATCATGGAGAAAAATCTATCCATGTGGTCACTAAGAGTTGACACCAAATTGATGGCACATAATCAAAACATGTTTTATCTCCGATACATCTTTAAAATCCATCTGTAAACATAAATATACCTCCTTCCCTGCCACCTACCTTCAAAGTAAACTGACTCCCTTCCCATCCATTTTAAAAGTACCCTGTTTCTCCTCTACTCTTCCATGTTATTTTTGCTGGCTGATGACCAGTTAGCCAGAGCATCTAATCATGGACACTCCAACACTAGAAATCAGGAATGAAGAAAAGGACATAGCTTTGCAGTGGGATTCAAGAGTAATGGGGAAAATAAAATTTAACTCAATGATATTTTGTATACCTTGCATGAACTTGTTATTACATTTCACCTGCATTACAATCAGGGCTTTCACTTGGCCATTCCAAAGTACAATACTACAGAAGTAGTATGTTGATTCATACTTTCCAAATTGTAGGTTTCTGTAAATTCAGTAACATAATGGTAGAAAATAAGAAAAATACTAAAGGGTTACATGTACTTAAAAAGGAAAATATTTAATCAGGAATGACTTGGTAAAGCTCTGTTGTCAGTAAAATAGGATGAAGCATCTGAAAAGCTAATGTAATAATGACAACATCTTTTAAAAGAATATACTGCAAAGTAGACAGTAAATATACATATAATAAATATGATGTAAAAGCTAAGTTTTCACCAACAAAAAGAGCTGAGAATTTTCAAGAAAGATACTTCACTATGATTTAGTCATTATGTGCCATGAAGTCATTTTCAACTCCTAGCAACCACACAGATAGATTTCCTCTGTGATAATTTAGCCATACACTGATTAAAAATGGACATTCTCCAGTTCATTTTATATCTTTCATGTCATTTTATATATAATATTTCATTTTTTACTTATGAAAAGTATGCATACTGTCCCTTTCTACAAAGGATGATGCTTCATCCCCAAGAAACATGCTTAGCAATAGAAGCAAACTCCTTTCTGTGCCTTTAATTATAACAGTGCCTGGATTTTCATTTGAAATAAGAACCCACACATGTTCAGAATGTGGGGTGGGGAGAACAGGATCTGACTGGTAAATTATATTGTGTTTATTTGAGCACATAGCAGTGGTCCTAAATCACAAGCAGAGAAATGTGAACCGGGCACCTAATCACCGAAGAGATACACAGCACAGCCTAAAGTTACCCCATTTTAATCCCCAGACTAAGGTTCCTGCAGTGCGGCACTGAGTAGGAACCTTATTTATACCCAAAAATGAAGAATCCCTCAAGGGAGTGGATTCTTGGGGTCTGCATTCATGCCCTTCCCAGCTGCCTTGCAGCTTGCCCTGGCTTTCTCAAACCAAGGCTGACTCTGTGAATCTTCCACATGAGAGCAGCGTCTAGCTCAGATTGGCTTCATCTCACTTGGAGAACATCCCGGTGAGTTTAATGGATTTCACTTCAGAGTAAACCTCTAAAGCAGTGTTTCTCAACCTGAGCAACTTTAAGATGGGTGGACTTCAACTCCCAGAATTCCCCAGCCAGCCATGTTGAAGTCC